GTTGGATCAGATGATCTCTATGGTCCTTTGCACCCTGAATACCACAGTCTCAGGATCTATAAGGTTCCTTCCAAGTGCATGACTATAATTCCAAACAAGAATGCCACAGTGAGAAGGTTTCGTGTAATAACTCTTTTCTCCGTGAGCTAATAAGACTTATTGTGACAGGTTTAAAAGCTACTCCATGGGAGAAAGTTAAGCACTCTGGCAAGGTACATTGACTTACTTGAGCCCTTGGAATACTTTTTTAATTCAATGAAGCATCATTTTCCTAAGCGTCGTAATTAGAAAATTAGCAGTTACTAAAGAAGAAATAAATTAAACTCTACCACTGAACTCTAATACTTCAGTGAACTGAACAGTACCCAAGTGGTCTGAAATAATTCTAAAAGAATCCAATTCACTCACAGGGAGTAGTTTACCCACTGGAAGAATCGGCCTCATTAAATGCCACTTGGATATACTAAGTTTAAAAAGGTTCCACTCTCCTAGGAGCTCACAAGGTGAAAAAAAAAATCTCTTGCTATATGAGCCAAAATATAAATTAAATAAAGTTGTCTAGACTAATTAAATATCAAAATATTGGCATTTCATCCAAGGCTTCACACATGCCTTTTATTTGGAAGTAAAAAATACAATATGATAGACAATGGTTAGGGAGTCAACCTCAAAGAAAACCTGGATTCAAGGCTTACCTCTGATACATAGTTACTGTATGATCTTGGACAAATCACTTAAACTTTCCACGCTCCCAGGCAATTATGTAAGTTGAAAACAAGTAGAGATAGTTACACAGAGAGATATATATGCGAATACACACACATATACATATGCGTGTGCTAATTTATGTGTATATACATATATATAATATATACATACACATACACATATACACACATACATACATATATGAAATCACATCTTGTTTAAAACAGGTTGTAGAAAAACAGGTGGCTCTAATAAAATTAACTTCTCACTTTCAGTTCATTAATGTAGGTTCCATGGGTAAGGTGACATTCTAAGTGTTCTCTGTATGGTAGAAGAGAGTAAAATTAATCACCTGGCAGTGGGAAAGATCTATATGTAAATGAAATTGATGGAGAGGAGTGAAATTAACCCTAGAATATTCTGAGGAAGAAATAAATAAAAATAAAGAGTTAGAGCGAAAACAAGAAAGCAAAATAAATGAAGATACATCATTTTTCCTGGTGAAGGAATTTTGTATCCAGGTTTGGAGGGTAAGGAAGTTAGGAAACCTCTAGAATGTTTTAGGGGACAAACTATTTAAGCTGCAGAAGAAAAGGTGATGGAGGAAGAAGTGCCACCTTCATTCATCTCCACTCAGACCATCTCTTTCACTTCCCTGATGCCATTGAAAAATTGGACTCCACCCCCTGGAACTACTCTAGACTTTGATAGGACAGCTTTGCCTTTATCTTATTCAATTCCAGATAATTAAAACATGAGCTCCTTGAGGACAGAAGCTGTTTTGCTTGCTTTTATTTGTATGCCTAGTGCTTAGCATATATAAGTATATGCTCTATGTATCTATCTGTCTGTCTATGTATCTACATATATATCATCCATTTATCTGTCTTTCTAGTATCTATCTCCTCACTGAGAATAGAAAGATAAGGTAGACATAGCAAAGTTAATCCTAGACTTATATTATGGTGATAGGGTAGAAAAGATTATTGTGCACTGATTCCACACAGAAAGAAATAGCAGAATGTCATAGAACTTGTGACAGTGAGAATGTTGATGTAAGAAATGAAGATCAATGAGGACAAATTCAAAATACCTCCTCTCCCCTGATTACTTGCTCACTCCAAAGTGAAAGCTGAATGAAAGGAAGAAGTATACTAAATGTGGCTTCACAGAATCCAATTTTATTTGGCTTCAAGAAACCTTGCCAAGTACCTTGCAAGAAATACTTTAGACAGGACACAGGGTGGGATAGGGAGGGACCACAATCCTCTAGACTAGATAACACTATCTTTCTTGAATAGAGACTGATTAAGCTACAATAATCAAAAAGGCTATTTGACCCTCGATTCTGTGGAACCAGTTTTCTTGCTGCTGTATAGCTGCTGCATGTCTAGAATTAGTGTGATGATATGACGCTATCTGAGGCTGGTGACCAACATTACCAAGGAAAATGCTACTCTCATTGACTCTGTCTTTGGAGGATGGTGTTATTCCTTTCCAATCACTCCCTTGAGTCCTGCCCTTTGAAAGAGTACATTTCTTTTCCAACTAGATATGGGAAGACAATGGGAACAGGAAATAGCAAAGGCCCCGTATCCCAAATCACTCCAAGCTAAAGCAGAGTCACTCCCAGACAAAGCTGCTGTCTCATTTGCCTTGGAATTTCAAGGTCTACATATCAATCTTTCTCTGCTTTGGGAAGTTAGAAAAATATAAATCAATAATATTCTTTTCACAACTCAAGACGCTTCCCCTCCCCAAGCAAAAAAATTTCTGATGAAATATATGCTTCAATTGTCGAGTTTTTTCTTCTGGGTACTCTTCTCCCCCACTGCTTCTGTCACATTTGTGCAAAGACTCACTTAGGCTTTTGTCATTATACTCAACTGTGTATCATATTTAATGACATGGTAAACAGAAAACCAAACAAACCCTTAAAGAATGAAGATTCAAGCATACCGCTTCTAAGAAAATAGGAGGGAAAAAGTGGAGGAGGTGGTGAGATTTTACCTCTTCTGTCCAAATCATTCTAGCAAATTCAGCAACTATTTGTTCTATGAATCTTATGCATGATTTGATCATATCGCCTCAATCATATGACATTGTCTCTTCACAATTTCCTAGGACACTTTACTACTTTTGTGTGCCTATGAACCTGCTTTCATGCTGTCACACAAACGCCCAAGCTAAAACACCTATCCTTGGTGGTTCCTACCTTCAGCTTCCCATACTCTCTCTCAGTATGGGAAAGGTTAGGTTGTCTATCACTTTATCTTTCAAAGTCTATCCCATCAGTCCAGAGTTAGGACAAACTACCTGAGTGTTAAGCAAGGGAATGTTGATGGATTTATCCCTTGACCAACAAATATCCATCTCCAATGTCTATCTCCTTGGCAACCCCAAGGGGTGCTACAAATGTTTTTGGGTTTTTTTTCCCCTTTGTTTTTGTTTGAACATACATTAAACAAAAACGTTTCTTCATACAGCTACAATATTATGTTGAGCCAATGAGCATTAATAAATTTTGAGACATATTTAGCACTCAGTTTCCCCACATTCCTCAATCTTCTTTATACTTTGTACTTACGGTAGCACTGAAAAAAGCACTTGTATCCCCACACCGCTCTCCATGCCTATTTCTTATTCTTCCCTCACTCATACAGGCCTAACATTAAACATATATGCAACAAATTGTCTTTATGTTCAGGACGGATTTTAAAATGAAGGAAATTAAGGAGTGGGCAATGTCCATCCTTCCCATCATATACTGACCTTTATAAAATAACTAATCAATTAACAAGTTTTCTTTAAATGCCTATCTACTAAGTGTCAGGCACTGTGCTAGAGACTGGAGATACGAAGACAAAAATGAAACAGTTTCAGTCTTCAAGGAGCTTAGCCTTACTGGGAAAACAACCTGTATAGGTGAGTGTGTGTGTATACACACATACATACACAAATATATGATGTCTGTATGTATATACATATACATGTTTATATGTATACACAGAATAAGTATAGCTACGTTGCTTAGTGGCTAGAGCGCTGGGCCTGGAGTCAGTAAGACCTGAGTTCAAATCTGGCCTCTGATGCTAATGGTGTGACTCTGGGCAAGTCACTTACCCTCTATTTGGCAACCTCTGTTTGCCTTAATTCAAGAAAGAAGAAAATGGCAAACCATTCCAGTATCTTTGCCAAGAAAACTCCCTGTGTAGTATTGGTGTGCTATGTGTGGTCCATGGCATCACAAAGAATTAGACACAAATCAACAATATCAATAACAAAGTCAGTAGATTTGAAAGGTATACAAAGCGGTTTAATGTAGAAAGCAGCATTTGACCTGAATCTGGAAGGAAATGAAGGTTTCCCTATGGTAGAAATGAGAAGAGATTTCAATAGTGACCCAGAAAATAGACAATGCAAAAGCCAAGCCACTGCAAAGGAATTCTCGGTGAGCAACAGAAAAAAAAAGACTAATTTGGGTGGGAAGGGGAGTGATATATAATGAAACTAGATGGAAAAAGTGAATAAAAGGAAGACATTGATGTTTGTGCAATTGCAAAGTACCTGGAACATAGTAGTTGCTTAATAAATGTTTATTGATTAATTTGTTGTGGAAATAGTAACACTAGCCTACAGAGTTATCTAGCACTTTAAGTTTATAATGTCTTAAATATCCTATTGGATCCTCATAACAATCCTGTGAAGGAGGTAGAATGCAGCCTTCTTGAAAGCAGGGTCCTCTACACTAATAGTCTGCCACAAATCAGTACTGAAGAAATGTTTGTTGAAGTAAATTGAAAGCCCATTTTATGGATGAGGAATCTGTGGTTGGAAAAGGACTTGGCCAAGTTTGTACATACCAGTCAAAGTTGAATACTTGTCTTCTGACTCCTTGACCACTTCTAGCACACCAAACTATTAAATGCTATTATTCATTTAAGTGTCAAAGCATTATGGACTCTTTTGGAGCAATGTTACCCTCTTATACAAAGGTATATTCTGTGGTGTGGTAGAACAGACTACCGGCTATGGAGTCAAAAGACCTAAATTCAAAACATGCCTCTGGTGCTTTACTATCTCTGTGACCTCGGGCAAACCACAACCTCTCTGGACCTCAATTTCTATCATGGGGGGGGGGCTAGACTAAGTGGTCTCTAAGATTCCTTCCATATCTAAGATCTATCATTTATAATCTTCACTTACAGGTTCAGTTCCCCATGGGTATGCAACAATGCCATGAATTGATTTTTCAGAAGCATTGATAGAATATCTGTACCAATTTGACTCACCCAGTGAGTTTGACTGCATGTGTGCGTAGATTTCTGTATTTTTCTGATTCATCCTTTATGCTGTTGACATGCCTATATATTCCTGTTTTGTAATGGAAGAAATCTTCATGGACTTGCATTATTGCTAAAAGAAAAGTTGACAACATAATTGACAATGAAAATCTATGAAGAAAACATTGTGGTCTTTTCCCAGGCAAATCTCTGAGTTCTTTCCCTGGGATTTCAACTTTAAAAGGACTACACAATTGAACTCAATTTTCTCTTTTTAATTTGATTGGTTGTGATTTTTCTTATTCTCTTATAACAATGTCATTGGAATATTGAAATATTACTTAAATCTATATTATGCTTATTAAAATCCAACTAGTCTAGATCAAAGAAAATACAATATTACTAGAAATTGAACCACGAGCAACCAAGTCCTTCCACATTGAGCAAGTGATTACTTTTTCTCTGTTAACCCTGTTCTCCACCACAAGCCTATAAAAGCTCCAATTAAGCCTACAGTGAAGGGTGAGCCTCACAAAAGAGGCTTAAAGTCATTGTTCTTAATCCTCCAATAAATATAAATCTTTCTTTGGCAAGTCTGAACAAAAAGCTGTGCCTTGGAATAGGGACATGATGCCAAGATTTTTATTCTTCAAATACTTGGGAAAGAAGCCAACAGCATGACCTTTAAAAAAAAAAGCATTTATAATGTATAAAAATGGGGTCTTGATTATTTCTTTCTGATTTTATAGAATGTTTCACTGAGGGGTTGGGGCAATGCAATCTTACAAAAGTTGACATTCCTTTAAAATTTTGTAGGAGTACAGGCAAAGGAAATAGAAACTATGTAAATTGTTGGACCATAAGTTTGAAATTCATTTCATTCATTCGCATAATAAATATTTATTGAGATCTTCCTATAAGCAAGCCACTGATAGTAAAAGCTCACACGTAAATAGTGCTTAGAAATTTTCAAAGTACTTCTCCAATAAAAACCCAGTGAAGTAGGTATTATAAGCAGTGTTATCCCCCAAAAGTAAAATGGACCCCAGTGATGTGAAGTAATTTGCCCAAGTGTGGAGTGTGGTGCATAAAATGCAGTTGGTGTATAAAAATATCACCTAATATTTATATAGGGCTAAAAGGTTTTCAAAGTGATTTCATACACACACACACACACACACACACACACACACACACACACATAAAAATACCTGCACATGTATGATCTCACTGGATCTTTACAACAACCCTTTGAGGTAGGTACTGTTATTACGGGATCCTTACAACAACCCTTGGAGGTAAGTATGGATTTAATAAATAAGAATTTACAATACCGTAGTACCTAAAGAATTTTGCTTCTGTCTCTCTCCCATTACCTCTACTCCTTTTAAATTCTATAGAATGTGAAAGAAGGTGATCTTGGAAGTACTGAAGAGTTAAAATGTCAAGGGCAGCAATTCAACACAAGTCTACTGAGTGCAAACACAACACTCGGCCTAGTGGACAGATAGCTAGATTTTTGAGTCTGAAAAACTTGAGTCTGAATCTTGCCACAAACACTTACTAGCTATGAGATCATGGACAAGTCTCTTAACCTATTTCAGTTTCCTCCTCTGTGAAATGAGGATAATAATAGCACCTACATCCAAGGGTTGTTTTAAAAATCCAGTGAGGGGGCAGCTAGGTGGTGAAGTGGATAGAGCTCTGGCCTTGGAGTCAGGAAGACCTGAGTTCAAATCTAGCTTCAGACACTTGACACTTACTAGCTGTGTGACCCTGGGCAAGTCACTTAACCCTGATTGCCTGGCCAAAAATTAAAAAAAAAAGAATCCAGTGAGATGATACATGTGTGTGTGTGTGCGGGGGCGGGGTGTGGGGGTGTTTGGGGGAGTGTGTGCATAACCACTTTGGAAACATTATGTCTCTATATAAATTTTAGTTATTACTTTTATAAGCCAGATTGCATTTTTTAAGTCACTATATAAGGCCTTGATACTGTTCATTTGCTTTTCAATCATGTCCAATTCTTCATGACCTCATTTGGGATTTTCTTGGTGAAGATACTGGAGCAATTTCTCATTTCCTTTTCTAGCTTATTTTACAAATGACGAACTTAGGCAAACAGGGTTAAGTGACTTGCCCAGGGTCACAGAGCTAGTAATCTGAGGCCAGATTTGAAGTCAGAAAGACGTCTTCCTAATTCCAAGCCCAGTGTTCTATCCACTGCTCCACCTAGCCGCCCTGTAAGGCCTTATACCACAATAATTAAATCAACTTTAGGATGGGAAATGTGGTATGATACAAAGAACACTGAAAAAGAAGGAATAAAAAAAAGAAACTTAACATAATAATTTTGTTGCATATTTGAATGTAATAACAAGTTGTGCATAGTAGATTTGCAGTTTTATGTACAATCATCTTTTTATTGTACTATGTTACAGAAATGCTTGTTTTAGTCACTAAATTAAAAACAAAATAAAAAAGGAAGAACACTCAATTTGAAGTAAGAAGGCTCATGTTAAAACTCCTAGCTCTTTCAATTACTACCTACCTAACCTTGGGGAAGACATTCTAATTCTCCAGGCCTTGGTTTTGATCTCTATGGCTATTTTTCCAGCTCTAAAACTATTACTCTATAGTCCTAATTTAGCAACATGGAACCAAAGAATTTGAGATTTGGAAGGGACCTCAGAGCTCATATATTGGAATCCACATTAGAAACTATACCTTAGAGTAGAAGTGTCCCCTCTATAATATGCCAACAATTGGTGATCCAGCCTCTGCCTGAGGACCACTAATAACAAGGAACTCACTACCTCCCTAGGCAGAACACTCCACTTTCAAATAGTGTTATTTACCAGGAAACTTTTCCTTATGTTGAGCCAAGAGCTACCTCTCTATAATGTCCACACATTGCCCCAGTTCTGCCCTCTGGGGGCCAAGCAGAACAAGGCTAATCTTTCTTCCATATGACAGCCTAGATCAATCTAGATTTGAAAGAAAGAGCAAAGGGGAAAATGGTGCTGGTTATATAATCATTCCCGAAATGGTTTCAGTGCAGCAATGTCAGAAGCATTCCATTTTAGATATGCCTCTCTTCCATACTTTTTTTTTCTGATAACACTCACATAGTTTTAAAGGAAGACAATTCTCCTTTACCTTCCATTACCCACATATGCATAAGATTGTAAGAATTTACAATACTGTAGTGCCTTAAGGATTTTGCTTTTGTATTCTTCATATTACCTCTACCTCTTTTAAATTCTGTAGAATATGAAAGAAGGTAATGCTTGGAAGTACTGAAGAATGTAGAAGAATGCATGTCATATTATTTATTCAGAATTATCTTGCTTTTCATATCCTCCTGTTCCACTGAAGGGGGAAAATTGGCTATACATTGGCCCAAGCAATAACAAGCAGACAATCAGATTGCATCTCCAGCAGAATGAGTCAACCAGCACTTTATCCATTTATAAAAATGCTCAGATATTGCCAAAAGCTTTTCTGTTCTATGGAAATAGTCAGTCCTTCAGCACTTATGACTCACCTCCTTTTGTAAACATCATGAATGGTACATGTTCTCCTATTTGTCTAAAGAACCATCACCTAGAGCAGGGTTCAAAGGAGGACCTTGAATTTATTGTTGTTTTTAAGTTTTTTATGTTTATTTTGATATAATTGGTTTCCTTTTGCAATCTTATAAATTTTATTTTAAGTAATTAAAACATTATTTTGAGAAGGGGTCCATAAGCTTGCCCTAACAGCAAAAGGCCATGCCAGAAAAAAAAAATGGTTAAGAAATCCTTCTCCTAGAGAAATGTAAGTGGCATACCAGTACAACTAATTTAAAGGAGTCCCCCACCTCCAATTTCCTATACCAAGTAGAAAGAGGTCTTTTGTAAAGACATAGACAAAGATTTCTTCAAAGACAATTTTGGACATGAATTAAATCCAAAGGTCTCTGTAAAGTTTTCTGACCTGGTCCAAGGTGGCAAGTGAAAAACACATGGGACCAGGGGATCTGGGGCAAAGTCAAAATTTTACTACTGTATGACCTTAAACTATATGACCTTAGGCAAGTCAGTCAACATCTCTGAGCTAATTTTCTCACTTGTAAAATGAATCTATAAAGTCGCATATTCAAAACAAAAAAACCCTTCATTGCACGAAGAATTTCAGCTTACCTTTTTTCCAACTATTTTTTCTAATTTATATGTAATTCCAAAGGATTTTGTGAAATATTCTGAACAAAACTGAATCTAAACATTCAGTGATTACAATCTGCATGGAACTGACTATTTAAAACATACAATGTTAGAAAGAAGCAGCATAACATAGGGAGAGACTCAGCCTTGAAGTCAAGAGGACCTAGAATCAAAGCCTGTCTCTGATGCACTGCCTGTGTAACCCTGGACAAGTCACTTGACCTGTTAGTGTCCCAAGCAATTCTCTGAGACTAGATGTTGCAGAGTTGTAACTCTACATTGGTAGATTGAGTTGCCACTGGAAACTTCTCTGTACCAAGAAACCCACAAGTCTAGTCCCTAGCCTCTAATAATAAGAAAATATGGAGTCCTGCCCTCTCCTTTTAAAACTTTAACTAAATCCTACCATTGAGCATAGCTCTCACCCCTAGAACAGTGGTTTAGGCTAACTGATTCCTCAAACTCCTCAATCTTTTGCTGAAATTTCTTTCTCCAAAGTTGCAAATTACTTCTTTCTTTTTTAATTTTTCACTTATTTTTTTTTAGTTTATGGAATAAAATAAGCATTTCCATGACATAGTATGATAAAAAATGATTGTACATGAAACTGCAAATCTTTTATGTATAGCTTATTATTCCTTTTAAATATGCAATAAAGCTATCACGTAAATTTCTTTTTTTTTCCTCCCCCCCATCCCTAAGGATAGCTACCATTAGACACAAATGTGTGTGTGTGTGTGTGTGTGTGTGTGTGTGTGTGTGTGTGTGTGTGTGTGTACTTACATGCTGTCAGATCCCAGGGATTTTTCTCGATCCTCATCCTTCATGATCTCTCTACAACCTTGGTCCCTATTGATCATGCTCTACTTGAGACACTTTCCTCTCAGAGTATTCTAGTCATTTCTCTCTCTTTATTCTTCCCCATGTGTCTTACTATTCTTTCTCAGTATGCCTTGCTGACTCATAATCAAAATTATGCTAATTATGGTTGTGCCCCCAAGGCTCTGCTCCTGTCACCTTTCTCTTCCCTCTCCACATATTCTCTCTGTGAATTACCAGGTCTCTTGTATTTAATTATCATATCTATGCAGCCTCAATCTGTTCCCTTTGCACTCTAGACATCTCTAACTACCTGCTAGATATTTATGCCTACAATGTACTTCCTCTTCACCTCTGCCTGTCACGGTGGTTAACTTGCTTAAAAGTTATTTTCAAACACAACCTCCTACAGGAGTTCATCTGTTTGTTTGTTTGTTTGTTTTCTCCTAATTACCCCATCTGCTTAGGTTCAGTATTATATTTTATATTTTTAATTTATATTCTATTTATAAATTTATATGAGTGTATTTATACATGAGCTCTCTCTCACTAAAATGTGCACTCCTGGAGGACACTTGTATTTACATTTCCAGAGCCTAATATATTACCTACCTATACAAGTGCTAGTTAATTTATTGATTGATTGATAGAAAATGGTCAATTATGTGGTATAATGGTTCATCAGAATCCACCAATCTGAATTTGAATCTTGAAACATTTCTGTTCCTTTATTAATATATATGTATGTATATGTGCATATTGAATGCACATATACATACATACATTCTTCATTTATTCTAGTATAACACATGCATATGGTGGATTTCTTGAGCTCAGGAGTCTGAGCTCCAATGGATTATGCTGATCTAGGGTCCACACCAAGATTTTTTTAAAGATTTTTTTTTTAATGACTAAGCTTTCCCCATTAAGTTTTTTTTAACTTAATCATCAATTCAGTTTAGCATATTGTGGCTTCTATTATTCTAATCATATTCAAAACTGAATATACTTTTTCACCTTTAATGATAAGCTTAACTCAATTTCATTTTCTTCTGGAAGTCAAGGAGAAAATTTATTTGGAAAGTCACTATAGCAGATGGCATGAGTCAAAGGGAAGGAAGGGTCCTTTATACTCTACGTTCATTTAGTTAAATTTGCCAAAAATTGCTAGGTTAGCTGGAAAAGAGAGTTTTCATCTGTCTAGAGCCTTTTTACAGCCATAATAAGGATTTAATTCTCCAAGCTATATTTGTCATTCAAAATATCTGATGCCTGCTGGTTTATCTATCTCTTTCTTCTTTACTCTGATGTCAAATATAGTGGTAAAAATTGGTATTATTTATTTTACCATTAAATTATCTTTTCTAATGATGAACTTGGATTCTAGTAAATCATTCTTCTGAGGAGGTGGTGGATGATTCAAAAAATTGATAGTAGGGAGGTGGATAGAATAAGTGTTAATCAATCAATCAAACAATAAGTATTCATTAAGTGTCTTTTATTTCCCAGGCACTACCCTAGGCCCTGTGGACACAAGTACAAAGAATTAAGCAATTCTTACTGCCAATGAGCTGTGTTTTATAATGAATATTCTGTGTTCAATATCTCTGGTGAATAAATTTGCCAAAAAATGGAAATTGAGGGAAGGCTCAGAATGGAAGATGGTATCTATCAAGGGACAGAGACCTTAAAATGGAAAACAGCAGAACTAAAGAAAGATTTCTTTGTTAGGAGTCAAATTAAAATCTCAAATGCCATAGGAACTCCAGAGAAGAAAATTGAGGAGCCAGCCTATAACAGAGGCTACAACCTTACAAACATAATAATAGTTGATAAACTTTTTCAAATACACAAAATCTTAGTTACGGTACTGAATACATTTCATACAAACATTATTTTTAGACCTGTAGAACCCGACTGCACATTTAAAAGTGAAGATCTTTTCTCCTATAAAGATCTTAACATGATAAACATGCTCTTACATACAAGAAATAAATAAGTCATGTTATTCTTTGTTTTCATCACCAACCTTGTACTGGCCCATTCTGGATGATTTCTTTCATTATTTCAGTTTCCTGGAAGGAAACAAGAATGTAAAAGTCAATATCATTACCACTGAGAACTATTTGCTATAGAAATTCTGTTACGTTTTGCTGCACATAGTAAATCTGACAGAGCTTGATTTTGTCTGCTAACAGTTTATAATTGAATATGCTTTGGAAATCAGATGAGCAGAATCTTAGAGTAACAAGTGATCTAGTCCTATCCCTAGATGAACAATTATCCTCTAATGAAATAATGTGTCCAAAGCATTTCGTTTAAAGGCTTTCAGAGAGGTTGATAACCTCCCAGGGCAATCTATTCCTCTTTTGGATAACACTAATTGTTAGAAAGTTTTTCCTTATGTCAAGATTTAATTTGTCAAGGGTCAGAGCCAAGATGGCAGAGTAAGAGCAGTGACTTGCTTGATCTCCCCTCTAAACCCCTCCAAATACTTGCTAAAAATGGCTCTAAACAAATTCTAGAGCAGCAGAATCCACAAAAAGACAGAGTGAAACACATTTTTAGCCCAAGACAACCTGGATGTTTGATCAGAAAGGTATATCATGACAGCTCGGGGGAGGAATACAGTTTGGCACAGGCGCTCAGGCCAAATAGGTCTCAGCAAACCTGGAGCAGCCCTCAGAGGACTGAATCACGGGCAGCTGTGGCAGTTTCCAGATTTCTCAACCCAGGAACACCAAAGAAAACTTAGAAGGTCAGTAGGAAAAGTCTGTGACTGCGGTGAGAGAAAAGCTTGGTCCCACCCCCAGTACCCATATTCAGCCCTGGATGGCGGCTGCTTTCTGAGTTTCTGGCCCACCGATTGAGGGAAAATTGAGTGGCTGATCAGAGAGGGACTGCAAGAATCTCTTCTCTGGTTCAGGATTCTCTTGCTTTGCCTGTGCTTGGATCTACATCACAGTTCTGGGTGGCAGTCCTGGGGCAAGGAGGAATGATGGCATGGTGGAGCTTGGTGGAGAGGAAATCCACCTCACAGTTTCAAGGCAGAAAAGACTGCTTATTGTCACCCATAGACTAGAGCACAGGCCAGGAGTAAATGCCTCACCCTTGATCATACCACCTTGAAAGAACTGAAAATTTACAGGTCTCTAGAAGTATCTCTGAAAACAGCTGCACAAAACCCCCAAAGCTTGGGACAGTACGTTCTTCACACTAGAACCAGAACACTACCTTACCAAAGAGTTTATAACTCAAATAATTGGCTGAGTTCATGAGCAAACAAAGGCACAAAAAGTCATACCATACAATATTTCTTTGGTGACAAAGAAGATCAAAACATACAACCAGAAGAAGACAACAAAGTCAAAGCTCCTACATCCAAAGCCTCCAAGAAAAATATGAATCAGTCCCAGGCCTAGGAAGAGCTCAAAAAAGGATTTTGAGAGGTAAGAGAAGTAGAGGAAAAACTGGGAAGAGAAATGAGAGTGATGCAAGAAAATCATGAAAACAAGTCAGTGGCTTGCTAAAGGAGACCCAAAAGAATGCTGAAGAAAATAACACCTTAAACAATAGCCTAATACAAATGGCAAAAGAGATCCAAAAAGCCAATGAGAAGAAGAATGCCCTAAAAAGCAGAACTGGCCAAATGGAAAAGGAAGTTCAAAAGCTTACTGAGGAAAATACTTCCTTAAAAATTAGAATGGAGCAATTGGAAGCTAGTGACTTTATAAGAAATCAAGGCACTGTAAAACAACCAAAACAATGAAAAACTAGAAAACAATGTGAAATATCTCATTGGAAAACAACTGACCTGGAAAATAGACCCAGGAGAGATAATTTTTAAATTATTGGATATCTAAAAGCCATGATCAAAAAAAAGAGCCTAGACCTCATCTTTCAAGAAATTATCAAGGAAAACTGCCCTGATATTCTAGAATGAGAGGGCAAAATAGAAATTGAAAGAGTTACCCATCTCCTCCTGAAAGAGATCCCCAAAGGAAAACTCCTAGGAATATTGTAGCCAAATCCCAGAGTTCCCAGGTCAAGGAGAAAATATTGCAAGCAGCCAGAAAGAAACAATTCAAATATTGTGGAAACACAATCAGGATAACACAAGATTTAACAATTCTATATTGAAAGACTGGAGGGTTTTGAATATAAAATTCTGGAGGGCAAAGGAGACAGGATTGCAACCAAGAATCACCTACCCAGCAAAACTGAGTATAATCCTTTAGGAGGAAAAATGGACATTCAGTGAAAGAGAGGACTTTTAAGCATGCTTGATGAAAAGACCAGAGCTGAATGGAAAATTTGACTTTCAAATACAAGACTCAAGTGAAATATGAAGAGGTAAACAGAAAAGAGAAATCATAAGAGACTTATTAAGATTGAACTGTTTACATTCCCACATGGAAAGATGATAATTTTAACTCATGAGACCTTTGTCAGTATTAGGGCAGTTGGAGGGAAAAATTATATGTATGTTTATAGATAGATAGATAGATAGATAGATAGAGAGATAGAGAGAGGACACAGGATGAGTTGAAGATGAAAGAGTGATATCCAGAGAATAAAATTAAGGGGTGAGAGAAAATTATACTGGGAGAAAGAGAAAGGGGGAGGTAAAATGGGGTAAATTATCTCACATAAAACAGACAAGAAAAAGCTTTTACAGTGGAGGGGAAATGGGGAAGGTGAGAAGGAATGAGTGAATCTTACTCATTGGATTAAGGAAGGAATATACACTCAATTGGGTATGGAAATCTATCTTACCCTACAGGAAAATGGGTGGGTGATGGGGACAAGAGAGCAGGAGGATGATAGCAGCAAAGGCAGATTGGGGGAGGGGGTTATCAGAAGCAAACTCTTCTAAGGAGGGACAGGATCAAAAGAAAGAATAGAATAAATGGAGAATGGGATAGGATTAAGGGAAATACACTTAGTTTTTCACAACATGACTACTGTGGAAGTGTTTTGCATGACTACACATGTATAACCTGTATGGAGTTGCTTGCCTTTTCAGTGAGGATGGGTGGGGAGGAGGAAGGGAGAAAATTTGGAACCCAAAGTTTTAAAAATAAATGTTTAAAAAATTGTTTTCACATTCAACTGGGAAAATAAGATACACAGGAAATGATGCATAGAAATCTATTCTACCCTACAGGAAAATTGAAGGGGAAGGGGATAAGAGAATGTGGGGAGAGATAGAAGGGAGGACAGATTAGGGGAAGGGGTATTCAGAATGTATGCCATCTTGGGGTGGGGCGAGGGGTTAGAAATTTGGAATTCAAAAACTTGTGGAAGTGAATATTGAAAACTAAAAATAAATAAGTTTATATTTAAAAAAATAGAAAAAAAAACTTGAATGGGGGGGAAAAAAAGAAACAATAAAACAAATGTGATGCCCAGAGCTCAACACAGTGCTTTAGATGGAATCAGATCAAGGCAGAGGCAAAATATGACTTTACTATCACCATCCTCTGTCTTGGAATATTATTGCTCTTTTAATGAAGCCAAATGTAACTTTAAGTTCATTTTTTCAGTCATTCAATTCATACAATAATTATTTATTAATTTTTTCTTAACAGAGGTTGAGCTTCCATTCCACTAAATTTTTCAGATATTTTCTCTGATGAATGATTTCTCATTTATTTTTAACTCAGGAATCTTATTTGACATAGATGTCAGATGCAAGATTTCCATTTTTAGATATCAAATATAATTTTATTCATTAATTCATTTTCTCTTACCATTCATATTTTAAAAATTGATTTCCAAATTTTCTCTATTCCTCACATCCCTTCCCTATCCTTTGAGAGAGCAAGTAATATGATAGAAATTAGACATGTGAAGTCAAGCAAAATATATTTCCATGTTACCTATGCTATGAAAAAACAAGAAAAATAGAGAGTGAAAAAATGTGCATCAATTTGCACATAGAGTTTATCAGTTCTCTCTCTGGAGGTAGACAGCATTTTTCTTCATGAGTCCTTTGGAATTGTTTTGGATCCTTGTTTTGATCATTGCTAAGTCTTTCACAATTGATCATCATTACAATATTGCTGTTGCTGTGCACATTGTAATCCTGGTTCTGCTCAATTCACTTGGAATCAGTTGATATACACCTTCCCAGGTATTTCTGAAACGATTCTGCTTGTCATTTCTTATAGCACAATAATATTTCATTGCAATCATATGCCAATGCTTATTCAACCATTCCCCAATTGATGGGCATCCACTCAAAATCCAAATATTTGGCACCACAAAAAAGGATTACTATAAATATTTTTGCACAATAAGTCCCTATCTTTTGTCTTTTATCTCTTTGAGATACAAACTTAGTAACAGTATTTATGGGTAAAAGGGTATACAGAGTTTTATAATCCTTTGGACAGAATTCCAAATTGTTCTCCAAAAAGGTTGAAGCATTTCATAAGTTCAGTAGTAGTGTATTAGTTTACCTACTTATCTACATCCCCTTCAATATTTTAAATTTTCTTTTTCTGTCATGTTTGCCAATTGGTTAGGTATGATATGGTACCTCAAGGTTGTTTTACTTTATGGTTCTCTAGTCAATCATGATTTAGAACATTTTTTCATGTGGCTATTAATAACTGCAATTCCTTCTTCTGAAAAGTACTTGTTCATATCTTTTGACCAATTCCCAACTGGGGAATGGTTCTTATTTTTATAAATCTTGTTCATTTCACCTAATATTTAATAAACTTCAGGCCTTTGTCAAAGAAATTTGCTGTGAAATGTTTTTCCCAGTTTCCTGCTTTCCTTCTAATTTTGGCTGCACTGAATTTGTTTGTGAAAAAAGATTTTTAAAAAATTTTATGTAATTAATATTATCCATTTTACTTCTTATAATTCTCTCTATCTCTTGTTTGGACATAAACTATTCTCTTATCCATAGATTTAGCTAGCAAAATTTCCCATGCTCCTCTAATTTACTTACAATATCCCCCTTTATGTCTAAATCATTCACCCATCTTGACCTTATTTTGAGATGTGGTATGATATGCTGGTTTTTGCATAGTTTCTGAGAAAAAAAAAAACCTGCTTTCTA